AGGTTTGTAAATTGTTGCCAACTTTAAATCTCCCCTGCCCTGTCTGATGTCCTCATGTTATTGAACAAACGTTCCCATTATTTTTCACAATCTGTGGCAGTAAACTCTCGTATAAACTAACAAAAATAAATTGCAGCTAAAGACTTTTGCTTGTTGCCATGGAAAATGTTAGTAATTTGCTTAAATGTTCTTCCAGTATGGAGTAAGTGGAGTAAATTGCAAAAATTTTACTTAAAAACAACACGTCTCCATGTATTTGATCTATAACAATAGCCCCGCGAAGTTGCTTCTCTCTCCGATGGATGGACTAACCTAATTTGGACCACATTTAGATGGACATTAGATGGACATTTTTTGCACACAAATATTACTTTCGGCACTAGTAGAGTAAATAGTTTGGACACCCTTATGTGTGGTTGTGTTGTCCATGAATTCTGACTAATTCATTTTTCCTCACAGCTTCAAAGGACTCTCCAGACGAACAAAGGAGTTTCAAAAGGTTGCCTTTTGAATTTGCAGCCAATGAAATGGCACCAAAATGGCAGAATGGACCAAAAGTAACTTCATTTGTTATTATTCAGCTCTGTGGTGAGTAATAATACAAACACACACGCATAAAGAAACGCTTTTTTCTTGATTTAGGAAATCTTTCCTGTGAGACCTATGAGAAAAGCTGCCCAGCTGGGCGTTGGGGGCATTTATGTTCAACAGATGTTGGGGGATCTGCCTGTCCCCGACTCGACACATCTTTTATCTTTGAGGCTTTGTCCCAGATGTGTCAGCACTACAGCATAACATCTATCCACAAGTTACCAATCTCAGGATTCCCACTTTCAAAATGTTTTTGATTCTTGACACAATTATCCAAAATAACCTTTCTCCAATATAGTATTTGTGCATGATGATCTACGCGTTTGGCAACACTGAACAAAGAGAGAAGTTTTGTCCTGACCCTTGCTGCACTGGATAATTTTGCTTCATAATGTCTGACTGAACCAGGTTGGAAGATCAGTGCTAAAGCAGAGTTTAAAACCTGAAAGCCCATGCCTTGTTTTGTTTTACAGGTATTGGCAGTGATGCGGCTCCCACCTGACAACGCCCGTAATAATTAGACCATAACATAATGAAAGCTCAAAGGTTAAAGCTGTTCTTTTAACACCTTTTTATTCTCAGCACATTGTGAGTTTGTTTTATAGCACTTTTTACTCTTTGTAGCTTTCATCACGGAGGAGGAGATACCGATGTTTTTATTTTGTGGAGTGCAGGACAGAGGCAAAGGCCCAAAGGCATTTCATGCTAGTGGTGGAAAAAGGACGCCTGGTCCAGCTTTGGTAAAAAGGAACGCAAGGTAAAAATTGGACACAGTATATCCTTTCCATGTCTTGTGAGCTGAGAGCCACCAGATGGCGCCCAAGTAATCAACTATATGGTAGTTGCTTTGTAGGTGGGCTGGAATTCGCAGCCAACCCAGAGGCAGTAATATTTGAGGACTGTGCAGTTCCTGTGTCCAACCTGCTCGGGTGAAGAAGACAATGATTTAATAATCGCTATGAATGGCTTGAATGGAGGCAGATCAATAATAGGTGTGGCAACTTTTTAGTACATATTATTATCTCCTTTTAATCAATAAAGGGTCACAATTAAAGTCTTCAACAAACATTTTCCTCAGCGTCTTGTTCCCTTGGAGCGCACATGCATCGTTGTTGTTGGCAGAGAGCACCTTTCAGTTCTAAACCAGTTTGGAAAAACACTGTCCAACTCCAGTGCAGTAAATTTTGTACATTACAGAAAACTTGTTGATCTTGTACAAATAATAATACAATACATTATTAGTAAAAAATACAATTGTGGGAATTGGTATAGTATCTTCAGTCCAACGGCAGAAATGGCCACAAACTCATAGCAACTCGACTAATGGTGCGAGAGCTTGCCAAAGCTCTCCAAAGAGGGCAACTGATGCCGTTTTCCTCTGCTCCATGGCAAAACTCTTGCTACAGATGAATCTTTTCTGTGAGTGAACAATTCTACTTTATTAGTTTGAGTCGAAGATCTCAACACATGAATAAATTGTTTTATACGACTGAATTCCTTTTATTACTATTGATTTTAGTCCTCTTTCCTGTTTCATCAAAAAGTGCAGTTGCCCTTTAACAATTATTGTGGTCCAATGTTAAATGTACTTTAGTCATAGATGCTTAAAGGTCTGAGGAAACTCCGATGTTCCACAGATCTGCAACCAGCCCTCAATGTATGGGGATACGGTTTACCATAAGGATTACCCCGTACAGCAGTTTTGTCCGAGACATTAGAGTACATCAGATTCTGGAAGGTGAGTATGTACAGCGGTATTATCACACTGGCAATATCTATTCTGAACAAGCACAGCAACCAAAAACACCAAGTTTATGCCATTTGAATACCTTCACATGTGTACAAATAGGCTGGAGATAAAACGATAACGATATATAATTGCGATAGACACGTGTTTGTATAATCAATAGAAAACGGGGTTCGATAGTAACTTTCGATAGTTTTAACTTCACATAGGAATTAGAAGCCGAGTCCAGAAGCTCGCTGCATTCTGGGATTAGGCAGAGGCTTCTCGACCTATCACAGCCGACTGCAAAACCGCAAAAACCTTTCTGGGAAATGCAAAAACAACAACCGCACCATGCGACGTCCATCGATCATGGATCTATTACAATAGCCATGATCTTAAAGATTGTGGTTTTTCAGTGACGTTGTCAATGGTTAAACACGTCCATGCGAGAACATCCTGTGCGGCGCGGAGAGGCAGAGACAACGATGCATTCGCAAAAGCAAGAGATTAACTTTTCCGGAGCCGCCACGGGGACACAAGACACTCGTAAACAGCCAAAACAGGAGCTAAACTAGGACTAAAACCAGGCCTAAACCAGGACTAAATGGGGGGAGACAGCTTGTGAACATTTGGGCTCCAGCCTCATTCCCCGTGACTGTAAACAAGCTGCTAACATGTGTTAGCCGACACGACAAATGTTATTTATTTTACGTTTTAGAAAATATAAAAAACAATCATATATATATTGTTGATTGACTGATATTAATTACTTAATTGTGATATCGTTTACAGCCTTATCGCCCAGCCCTAGGTACAATACTTACAATAAAGGCAGAGCAACTGTGTCTGGGTAAGTGAAGCTTGCGTAAAAGTTGGCCTGTTGCATGCTTTTACTTTTAGAGTTACTTTTAAGGTTAGTAAAGGGTTTGTCCATGTAACAATATGTTAAAAGTGTGAATGATATAATGCATTCCCACTGCTACTGGCCTAGACCTACATGCATTTTGATCTCAACATTTGGGAGATTTAACTCTTTTATTTTGACACATACTTTTATTTGTTATGGTGAAAACTGTGAATACTGTGGAACTTTTGTTTATATATGTACAAATGAAGTCATGAGAATGAATATTTCAAGAAATTTGTTTATCAAGTCCCTTGATAGTGTTTTCATTCAATGTGTACGTTGGTAATGTCCTGTATGTTTGCCCACAACTCAAGTTACAACTACATCCAATTGTTTAAACACTAAGGTTTTCAGGCCCTCTATCAGACTGCAGAGGGTTTCAGAGCCAACTTGATCTATTCATTATCTGCAAATGTGGGAGAAACACCTGCCAACGCAAAGAGATTCTTATCCAGGGTTTGACCAGAACCGGACTGAACGTTAGCCTGGCACTGCCAGACCATGTAGTTTCCGCCGAGCATCCACCACATGGGTCTGGCAGAGCCAGGCTAGTCTGAACGCGGACTATCAAGATTAGACCAGGAGTCAAAAAATGTCTGATTTTTTTTTTTTTTTATGAAATATGTAGCTACAATTGTCCATTCATTATTTCACATATTCCAACCAAAACACTGAATGGATAGAGTTTTCATTGATAAGTCAGTTATTGGCATTGAATCGCTGCGCGTTTGCAAAAACAGGCAAAAAAAACATGAAGTTATTAATTATTACTTTTTCATTATGACTGTTGAACTGCTGCAGCAGCGCAGTGAGCGTATTGGCCTACTTTATACTATTCCCACAAATTGTCTCAAGATTCTTTAGTGTTTTCTTCTGCTGTATGAAATGGGGCCAAACACACTTTCCTTTTTTAAAGATTTAGATTGAGTGGAATGCCCTTAAGTGTCCTTTACAATGTTATTATGCGTTACTGGTGATGTTTATACTGAGGGTTTTAAGCTGTTTTGTCTTTGTGGTTTTGTTGGTCTAATAGGTTATTTTAGCACTCAAATATTTCAAACATTACTCTTGTCCTTGTTTCCTAGAGTGTTAAATAATTCAGAGCTCTTAATAATGATAACACAAACATGTAATACACAGCTTAAAAAATAAAGTTTATTTTAAAAAATTTTAACAATTGTGTCAGAGCTTCGTTAACTGTATTCTCCCCCACATTAGTGCAATAGGAATAATTCCTTTTTCAGCCGACCTGCCAAACGATTTGCTAGCTAAATGTTATAAAACATAACATTGTTGCTTACAGTTATCAGGTCACATCATAGTAAGCACCTGCAACATAATAACTTTAATCCACAGTTTGTTTTGATTCAAAAGCCATTTATCATCTCATTAACCAAAAACTCTTTCATTCAAAGAGTTTTTTACTGAGTTGTGTTTTAGTGCAGAAAGCCAGAGAAATCGTGAGTACAGGTAAACCTAAAATCATCACAATCTACTAAATCCCCCTTTTAAAACTGCCAGAACATTTTAACGTATAGTCATTGTTACAAGTTTCGTTACATGTCCTGTATTCTCATAAATACAAAGTGCTAGAGTTTGAAAAATAATCCTCTGGAATATAATTCAGAATAGAAAATGAAGCTAAAAGTAACAAGATGAGCCACGCCATGTACAAAAGCATTCACTTTGAAGTCCTCTATAGTCGCTCAAAAGGTGCTTTCCAAAGGCATTCTTCCTCCAGTTTTAGAAAAGTACTTCAGCGTCAGTCTTGCCTTAAACCAGAGACCCTGCGTGGCTTTGAGCAGGTACCATCACCGCTACGGCGCCCATACGCGTCAAGGTGGAGGAGCTCATCTGAGGAGACATGCTGAGTGGGGGTGCCACTTGAGGTTGTGCGCCTTCTGGCCTGCAGGGGGAGCCATTCCCAGGGCTGCGGATCATGTATGGGGGTGCACCGTTTGCAGTGGGGGGGTGGCTTGGGTTTACGCGGGTAGTGCCTCCAATGTTGTAACCTGGAAGTCCCTGTAAAGTATTGGCCTCTCCAGGCCTGAGCTGGTAGGCGTTGATGACAGAGCTGCTGTCTGAAGCTGGCATTGGAGAATAGGGGTAGTGAAAGTTTGGGGGGTCTCGTGGCCGAGGACTGGTGGCTATAGACGAAAGTGTGCCATTTTTAGACATGATGTCAGATCCTGTGTTGCTTTTAGCCCAAGAAACGCGCTTTGGTGCCTGAGCATCTTCCCTGTGGAAGAAGAAATCCCAGTATGAGAACACACAGATATACAAGTACAGCTGGTATCAATGGATCCTTGTTATTTATGAGAAAAATAAGAAAATATTGTCTATTAATATTGTCTTTATTTTTTAAAGCTGGGACTTGATTATTTAATTACAAAGCTCATAACTAGATTTTTAATCACACATAAATATTTGACCTGAGAAGTATTTTTTTTTTTTCACAAGGATTTTTAGTATACCATGAGTAATGACTGAGATATCAATCTTTGTCCAACCAACTCCATCAGACCAGTGCAAACTTTTGCCATTAATTGTAACAATTGCATATTTAGAAATATTATTCATTTTGCAGGCTAAAGTGGTCTTCAGTTGAGTGAAATCCAATGAGCCATGTTGTTGGTTATTTTTTTCAGAAGTGGACTTCTTGGTGTGAAAAATGTGTTAGCCCTTATAGAGAATTTTACATGTTCATTAGAGTTGTGATAGACAGATGTAAGTCCCGCCTCTTGCACATACAACACTCAACACTGGTCATTTTAGCCAGCCCTAAAGCCAATCACACAGGGGCAGATCAAATGAGTTTGCCACGTTTTGAACATTTGTTTTAATATATCATACTAACTAGCCACACTCACATCGCATTTTTCCCTGTAAAACATTCCTAATGACTGCTGTATGTTCACACCTTGTTTGTTTGTTTATTTCATTCATTTCAGGCATTTCACATTAGGCACAAGTCACCTCTTGTCACTCATAGTTTCCAACAAAAATAAATACAATATTGCTAACACATGCATAAGAGGGAAAAAAATAAACCTTGCCCTAACTATTACTTAGTGTCTATCTGTGTATAATCTCCTCTCAGTTTAGTTACAGCTGCTCTGTGAGGGCTTCAGAGCTATGGTCTGTGTGTATTGGTCTCTAAACAGCATCATGAAGGCCAAGGAGCACACCAGAGCGAACAAGGACAACACTGATCACAGATGTAGCTACAATTCATGGCTGCGTGATATGCAAATCTAAGACACTGCTTGGAAAAAATACCTCCCCTAATGTTTTTGAATACATTTGTACTCAAAAGGGGAAAATCTCAAAATCCCTCGTTGGAAAAACCAAATAGTAATGATTTGGACTTCAAGATAATAAATAACACTTCCTACTTGATCTCATTGGCTGTCTCCTCTTCAGAGTCCCCTCTTCTCCTCAGGATAAATATGAGAAACAGAACCATGGCCACCAGTCCCACGATGGAGCCCAGAGTGGCAGCTGCGATCATGCCTGCATTTGAGGCTTGGAAAAACAAAACGACTTAAAACAAATGAACTTGAAATAGAAAGGTTATAATAAATTAAAATACATACAGGTGACGACCTCCAGGTTTATGGAGCAGGTGTCTGATCCTGCGTGTTGCTGGCCCGCAGACGTACTTCCCTGACATGCTTTTGGTGAGGTTACTGAGGCGGAGGGTGCCCTGTCTCTCGTCTGCAAGTAAGTACAGCCATTTATTTGTTACAATTCATGAATTATACCAAATATTGCTGGAGATGGTGTCATCTGACGGCCATAATCAAAACCTGGTATTCTCCACTCAGTACATATGTGCCATCCTCAGGTCAAATTAACCCACCACAGTGATAAAAAAAATTACCCTTTTTAATATGAGTAAAGCACAAGTGTTACTGTAGCCTCCAAGATGCATAGAACCTGAGCTGAAAAGATCTATAGATATACAGTATTTTAAAACATAAGTCGTGATATTTGGTATGTTTTTATTTTTCACTTTTGTTCATTAATTTATGGTTTTAGCAAAACTCTAGCTAGTGTCTGTTGGGATTGGTCTTGGATTGAATGTGCAATGTTTGAAAATGAGTTCTTTCATGATCTTTATCCACAGAAAATAACATTTCAATAATCCATATTGCTGTAAGAGGGATGATTAGAATTAATAAGTGTGTATCATTCAAGACATTTAATTCTATTTTGTAAGATTCATAAAATATCAAAACCTCATTAGGATGTGTTCTGACATCACAATATTCAAAAAGTCTTGTTTATCATTATGGTGGAGGGTAGCTGAAACAACTTTGGTGGTAACTATGGTAACTGTCAAAAGTGAGACTTCTTTAGTTTGACGCTAATTTCTCTCATTCCTGGGTTTGATGCGTCACAGTGTCAAAGTCCCACCCTTCTTTGTCCGTACATAGCAACATTAGAACATTAAAAAACATGTGCATGATGTGGCCCATCAGAAAGGACTTTCAGACAGAAGAATGCTATGGCAGATTTGAGAATCTAATATCAAAACCGATAATCTTGTAAAACACAAAAAATATCTTATTTTCCACAGAGATGTGTTGACACCTGCCCTGTTCTAAAGCATCCTTCACTGATCTGTTACCAGATATAGAATATACTGTATCACAAAATAAATGTATACATAGAATAAAATGTATTATGAAATAGTTAACATTATTAGTTAACAATCTACATTTTCTTTCATGCAGGTACAACCACTTTTACTTGGAAAAAACTCAATGCACTCTTTCCACGACTGCTTTTCTTTAATCTTGTCTCACTTCAAAGGTCATGACACGGATTATGCGTTTGACCATTACTGTCGTCTGACCAAACACAATCAATTCCTCTTTGCACTTCTTAAATGCATTTGTCGCAACACAGATTGTGCAGAAATAAACAAGCTTTATGAGAGACTTATCGCCACAAATCCTCTGCAGTCCAATTTCAGATATCACAGAGCAATATGATTTCATCGCCTGTCGTTTTGCTTTCACAGAGACGGGGAAATAACTGGTGTATATTTGGATAATCTCTGGGATGAAGTGATATGGTCAGTCTTCTGGTTCACTCTGAGGATGATTCACTGATACAATCAGCAATAGTTAAAACACTGAGGAATTATAAACAACCAGCAGCTGCTTTTACCCGGAACTCTGTGATTGACAATGTTTGATTTGTACCATCTGCTGTAGTGGTGCCAATCACTTTAGACTAGGGCTGTAACTAATGATTATTTCATTAAGCAATTATAAGTGCAGTATAACACACACTATACTACACTTGATTATGTTTAAGACACAAATATGAGAATTTAGTTATCCTCAAGCTTTGGGTATCATTTGTCATTTTTATATAATTGCTGTTTTGTGTGAGCATCAAAACATGTCCCATATAGAAAGTCAAGCCTTTGGGCAGCAAACTGTTTTTTTTTGTTTTTTGTTAACAAAATAGAAGGTGAAGCACTGAAACTTTACACAAGATAGAGGACTACTAAAACCACTGACAAATAAATACAAGAAAAAAAGCAATGAATATATTCCTTTAGTTCATTGATTCACTGAACCATCCCTACCTTACTAAAGCCCTTCCTGCTGTAGAGGACATGTGTGTTTTAAATGGTCAATAGATGATCAAAATAGTTAGCTCCCTGCCCAGAGAACACATTTCAGTATGAATATATTCAAACCATTATGAAGCAGCTGTCTTACAATGACTTGCTAAAGTTTGGGTCGGCCTGCACCTGCATTCTGATATGGGTTAATGCGCAGGATTGAAACCCAGCTGTGAAAAACAAACCCAGTTTTGAGGATTAGCCACATGTGCAGAGACTGAGAGCTGGAGTGAGTTCAAGCCTCAGAGCCGGAGGGGGCTGACGCGTTTAGGTGCTGAGGCGGAGCATTACTCATGATGCTTCCATTAATGCAAGGTCAATGAGTGGCATTCATCAAAGCCATGAGACCTCACAGTGCCGCATGTATACCAGCTCCAGCTCATCACACGCACATACAGCTCCATATGTACACATGGGGATAACAGCTCATATCTAAATATATGCTGTATCATTAGAATATTACGTTAGAACCCTATAGTCAACAGTGTTAGTGCATTCAAATATAACAAAAGCATCATTAGAATTCCAGTATTATAATATAATAAAAGTATGCAATAAAATTGAACCAATTTTTCTAGTTTGTCTTTTCAATCGACCAAACTGTTATTATGACTAGAACAGAAAACTTGCAAAATCATTTTAAGTTGCTAAGACTTTTAATCCTGACAAGGAACAGCTGCCCAGATGAACATCTGAGCGGTTATGGGTTTACTATGGGTCTACAAATAGAACACAAATGAATGGACATTGGGTGGAAAACAGAGTAAAAAGATAAAACTCAACCTTGCAACAGACTAAATAATGTAACAAATCATGTTATTTATCTCTTCATCCTTCAAAACACAGGAGAAAGCTACATTGTGTCAGAACCTTGACTTTTTATTTATATATGTGTACACCTGTGTTAAATGTGGTTGTCTATGAGTAAATGTTGGTTAAAACTGTTCTATCAGAGCTGATAATATTAATATATAAGGTGTGAGGCTGCATTAAATGTCTGGGTTGAGTTTTCCTTTTCAATTCTTTACTACAGCTCCAATGGTACTCCACTAGTTCACGGTGACTATCAGGGGTCTACAGTACAGCAGAGATATTAGTGAAAGCCCTTACCCATGAACCCCAGGACAAACAAGGGCTGCGGGCATGATCTCCATTCTGATGTTTTTGTGAGGGACGAGAGATGGCAGAGTCAGTGAATGAGGGAATAATGACAACACAGGACGGAAGACAACACATCCAACTTATGGCTCTCATTAGTCTGGATGACTGGGGTGCAGAGGTCCAGATCATGTCACTGTTTCCAATGAAGTTAACTGAATGAGCAGATTATGGACCAGGGTGCATTTCACATCTCAACAAACCAAGCTTCTTTAGTCCAAATCAGTTGGACCAAGTATGAATGCACCCTAAGTGGTCTGATAAAATGATGACATGGGGTTTTCTAGATGAGGCAGAGAATGGAGGACTACCTTATGCTAACATCATTCCTTATGCTGACATCTTATCACAGATCTGTTTCAAAATATGTGAGTAGGCTAGAAATCTTTATTTATATAGAGCTTTGAGAGTCAGACCAAAGCGCTTTACAATTATTGTGGGCATTTTTTCTCACTCCACAAAGTGATGGAAGCAGGGTTGCATACAGCAGGCACAGACCTCACCTATTGTACATGTTTTTAATGGTAGGGGAAACCAGAGCACCCGGAGGAAACCTACAGAGACATGGTGAGAACATGCAAAATCCAATCCAATACAAACAATTGTAAAAAAGTGAAGAAGACCAACAAGTGTGAAAGCGCCCCCAGACTTAATCAGGCTAAAATATGATTAAACTTGGTCTAAAATAATAATGGGCGAAACTGACCCACAGAGAGGGCAGGCTACAGTATGTACGCTATGAAAAGAAGAATCAGTAATGTATGCACAAATATAAATATATATTCTAAACGCCTGTGGTTTTCTCTGCAGTGCATTGCCAGGTAATGTTGCCATAGTAAAATGGTTTACACAGTCTATGGTCGGAGTCAATCTGAAAAGAGGATTTACACTTGAACATGAATCAGGGTATTCAATTGAGACGTCTGTCAGGAAATATATCCACATGTGATCCCAGGGCCAGTGCGTTCAAAGGTCAACAACCGATCACATGTATCGTTTTTGTCATCATTTATCATTCACTTCCCACACTGTAAATTCATAAATGGTTGTCTGTATGTGGTATTGTCTTGGTTGTGTTTATTTGTGACTTACTTTGCATTGGTGAGAAGAAGACCTCAGACAACGGCGCAGACTTGGTCCATTTGTATTGAGGAGTGGGTTTCCCTTGATTGGATGAACAGCTGAGTGTCACGTTGCCCCTCACTACGGGGTTCCCACTCATGGTGCAGATAGGGGGCGACGGTGGGACTGTGGATAGACCCAGTTATATCAACATTTTGTACGATCGAGCAGAAGAAGCAGTGACCATCTTGGGAACTTGTCCAATGCTATAATCTGGCAGTGAAGGAGAGGTCCCATGAGAGCCGGCCATATGAGCTATTAATTATATTATCAGAGCGAACATAAAACTATAAATCTTCAAATGACACCTAAACATGTGTGTGTACGTTCAGCTTTGTCCATTTCCATGTCAACCGTGACATATTTCCCAACAAATAAAGACAGAGGATGCAGTAGGATGATTCAATAAGCCAACATACCACATTTTGTTATTTTAATGAATCATGTTGTTCTTATACTGATAAATAATGATAATTAACATGTGTAATCAAGCACAAGGGGAGCATAGTTTGAAAAAAATAACAATAAAATGTGTCTTGTTATGGAGGGGGGAAAAAGTGTCAACAAATGAAGATGATACAATAAAGTAAATTTAAAAAAAAGTAAATCATGACATACTGAGTATGAAGACCCCAAGAAGAATAGCAACAGAATATTTTAGCAGCTAACAAATAATTAGCCACAACATTATGACATCTGGTTCAGGAGGAAGCAGATCACTGAGCTCGTTTCATCCTGGCACCATCATGCCAGCAAGCTAAAAGTTCTTCAAGATTGTGAAAAGATCGAAGCAAACAGTATAGCTTGTGCCCACTGGTCCAAATGGAGAAAATAAAGTACATATTCACTGCAGTACTTTTGCAGCATTCAGTTTTGTTTTATTTTTTTCAATAAGGAGCAAGTTTCCAAAATCATGACAGAATTGTTAAAGCATCTGGTATAGTAAACTGAAAAGGACTGAAAACCTGTTTATTAACCCTGCACTCTAACTATTGAAATATTGTGATGCATTGGCACTTACCTTTGACATTTAGCTTCAGCTGTCCTGAAATAAAAGCTCCTCCCGGGACCACGACTTGGCAAACGTAGCGGCCGCTGTCTGACTCTTGTGTGTTGTTGATGTAGATGGAGAGGTTTGCTGAGGGCATCCCTGCACTGAAGCCCACTCGTTTGGTGAACATATTTTGGCCATAACCAACTTTACCTGAGCTGAAGTTGATAACCTGTAATGTACAAAACAAAGATAAGAAAATAAAAATAATTTTATGAATTGTATTTAATCAAACGCATTCCCAAATCCTGTGTTGGTTTGCATTAACAATCTAATACAGTATATTAGGATGTACAGATTACTAACATACACGCAACAGTAATCCATATCTGTGCAGATGGTGGATGAGTTTTTCGTTAGATTTTCGGTTTACCAGTGCAGGGGTGAAACCAAGATTATTTTAATCGTGACTATAGAATGTGACACCAGCAAACGTGTGTATGTTTATTGGCAGATGGGATGTCATTAATGGGATATCTGAGCAACCATCCTTTTGAGTTCAGCTCAAACCGTCACAATGTTTTGAAATCAAGTATATATCAATAAGTGAATAACTCCAAAAAGAGCAATATAATGTAGTATATAATGGGGAGCACTCACCGGAGTAGACTGGTTGGTCTCAAAGGTCCAGATGACAACGTTTTTACTGATGTCCAAACTGGGGGTGTACCAGGCCTGTAGAATCACCATCCGACCTTTCACCACCTCCAGCTCTTTGGTGGGGATCTCCACTCCTTGAGTGTCACCTGGAAACACAAGTATTCACAACATGAGATTCAACAACCCTGACAACATTAAAGGAAGTACAAAATAACTCAATGGGACAAGATACAAAGTGCACTTGCTCATATAAAAAGAGCAGTAAGACTCACACGGCTCCCCATCCCCAGAGCTGCCCTGCAGCTGGATCAGCTGATCCCAGCAGCCTGTAGCTTTCGGCAGCTCCAGTTTGAAGTTTGCTCCTAAACTATCCCAAAGAAAAGGGTAGCTAGAGCCCCTGAAGTCAATCCTTCAGCAATGTGCGACACTCAGTCATGGTCATGAAAAAGTCAAGTGGATGTTGCAAAGAGTGAAGATGATTAGATAGGGATATGGGGAGAGAGAGCAGGCGTTATGATTTATACGCAGCCGAGGTCTTCACATCTGTCACACAAACACGCCTTCTTTCTTTTCAGAGAAAAAAACCGTCCCACTATCGTCAGCGGATTGGCTCTGGCACAGGAGCAGTGTAAGGGGCATGAAAACATACATCCATGAACAGACCAGCTCAGGGCTTATATAGGCTACATAGATTACACAGTTACTTGGTGCTGTCTTAAAGGCTGTGGACAGTGTGAACTTGTCCAGAATGAAACAAGTCTGGTGACTAATCCTTAAACGATCTAAGACTCAATCCTCACGTGAGCACAAGGCTCAGATGGACATGGATATGATGTAACGGTTGGTCAGTGTGCCATGACTGCTGCAGCATCTATACACATAGTAAAGCAGCTTCTGCAGCAGCTGCAAGACTCTTAGCTGCATGAATGATCATAGTCTGGCAGCTGTATGGCCCTGCGGGGGGGGGGGGGGGGGGGGGCAGACTAAATAGCTGCCAGACTAAATAATCAATCATTTTTGATTATTTACAATGGTGTAATTGATCATATAATATGCGTGTGTATCTTTTACTCTAGTCAGACTAAAGGCATCAGATTAACCTGTGTCTGTATAGAAGACCCAGACTGACCCAAAGAAGTATTAGAAGAAAATGCAGCACATCAAATCATGCTGCAGTGCTAAGCCCACAACTGGACAAGCATTTCCAGATTAAAATGTATGTTTGTTTGTGATTGTCTGCTGGCTTTTTCCACAAAGCCTTTTCAGAGCCAAATAATATTTTTCTTTAGGCATTATTGATGATACAAGCATCATGTCAGTATCGAACCAATAAAAAACACAATGAACCAGACATGTCTGGTCCCGGTCAGGGTTGTCAAAACTAATATACAAGTACTAATTTGATCATCAAAGAAATATTGAAATATGTCTTCAGTTTCTACTAGTATCAAGAATTAGGGAGAATTAGGGAATTCTAATTGCCTAATTAGAATTAGGCAAAATATCTAATTGCTATAAACATTGCTATGCAATAATCAATTATGTTTAAAACATTGGGTTACATTTACCTTTATATTTACATCAACATTATAAAAATCACCTACTACATTCTTCTTCTTCTTGAATAATCGTAGTATCAAAAAAGTATCTGACAATAGTCTCTGCAGACTGCTTTGAGAAGTTTCTGCTCAAAATGATGCCATTTCATAATTAATATCTATATTAATGTGAAGAAAATCTGCACTAATCCATGTCTGTCTCCATCTGTGGTGTATCTTAGCCCACAGTTCAACATTTGGATGAAGTCAAACTAAATCCTCAGGGGAAAAAATCAAGAAAGGCTGCCAATAACAAGGATAAAGAAGACATGATGGTGTGCAGGTTGTGCACACAGTGTGTCCTAATTACTCTGTTCCGCGGGCCATCAGCCCTGCCACACTTCATCAGTTAATTGGATTCTTCTATTTATTTATTTTTTAAACAATGTTTGTTTGTCTTGAGGGCATCCTGGATATTGTTCATAAGTTATTAGTCAAACAGCAATTACAACTGTTGGGAAGTACCAAGAGTCGCCCACAGAGGGCAGCACATCCAAATAATTCAGAATTTCTTGCGTCAGGGTAAAACATCTTTTAGCGTTTGGTCACTGTTGTTGTGACTTTTGTTGTCAATATTATGGCCAATAGTGTGGTGTGGTTGCTACAATATTCTGTTGTACGTAATGGCTGAAGTGAGAGCACAGAGTGTGCCCTGTGACTGGTACCTTTGTTAAATCCCTGCTGAGCGCTGGGCCTGTGGAGAATATTAAGTCCTCTTGAGCAGCCCTGCCCCGCTCTATCCCTGTAATCTGCTCCTGTCTCACTTTGTGTGCATCTTCACTTCTGTCTCAGTCAAACACTTTAAGATCACAGTGTGCCAGCTGTCAACAGGTCATTCATGTTGAAAGTACCAACGCATCTCCATCAGGAGACATCTTTTTTACTTCAATCGATAGGATTGGTGTTGCGTGTACAGTAGGAAAAAAGGGCGCACAATGTGTCATGCACATGCTTATTTAGCAGTAAATCTCCGATAAACTTTGACCAAATAAGTAAATCTATCATGAACGTTAGAAGCAAAACAACCAACAAACAACACAAGCAGCAGGAATTCAGAGCAATATTGAGATTATTCACAGTGATGTCCAACAGATCAAAGATGTGGCAGGAGTAATGTTGGTGAATGTACAGCAGGTGACTTCACGATGTAAATGATCAGGACATGGAGAGAAAATCTGACTGGAAATAATGGCGTTTATAATCTATAATGATATAAAGTATAATCTGGCTGAAACAATTATACAAATGACTATTCTATTCCTTTGTCTTTATGAATCATCCATCCATCCATCCATTTTCTACCCTTTAATCCATTTCTGGGTCAGGGGGGTGGCAATCAGAGATGCCACCCAAGTCTCATAGCACCAGCGCCTCACTGATCCTTTGCGGGTGGTGAGTCCACAGGAGCTGAGATCTTCCAGCTGGGGCTTTGGGCAAAGTGGGGTTAAGTGTCTTGCCCAAGGACACAACAACAGCAGTCATCAGTGGGAGTCGGTGGAGAAGGTGCAGAGGTGGGAATTGAACCCATGACCTTCTGGCCTTAAGGCCAATGCTCTACCAACTGAGCTACTGTCGCCCTCTTTATGAATCAGATCTTTTAAAAACATCAACAGTACAGAATCACTTGTTTTACACCAGCACTGCCAGCCCTGCTCTGCCCCTTTTATACATCATTTATTAGACACATCTTTTCTCTCCAAGCAAGCCAACCAGTATGAGCCCCCTCGACTGCCACCAATCATGCACGCAAACACCAGACTCATTCTAAACAATGTAGGTGAAGTGTCTTGCCTAAGGACTCAATGACAATAATAGCCGAGACCACCCCACTGTGGTACAGAGTGGTCCCAGAGGTCTCCCATTACTGCACTAACCAGGTCCTGCCCTGCTTAGCTTCAGAAGTGTGGCAAGATCTGGCTTTCACATGCAGGTGGCGCCACAATGAAATCAATAAAGAATTTAGATTAGCAAAAATAGGTTTTCAGCTTTTGAAAACTACCTGCCTTCCTAAAGCCAAGTTCAGAATTAAAAAAAATATATAATATATATATTTATAATTAATTGATTTTTTCGAGCGCAGGATATGACCAACACTCTCCTCGTTTCACTAGGCCTCAACAAACGTTTGAAATGCCCTCTCAGAAGTATAGTCATTAAACACAATCATGCATAATTTACTTTATTGTAATCATTTACACAAAGGAGCACTTTCTTAGGAACAACAGATGTGACCTTTATTTTTGAAAATAGCTGCTGTGAAGTTTCACTACTGCTGTGAATGTCAAAGGAGGCTTTGTATTAACAAAGCAGGAAATTGGGTTATTCTCTAACTTTGTACCCGACAAGAAAGATATGAATGTAGGACAATGTTTGGGCGTGCAGGAGTAAAAGTGCCTACTGGACTGACCCTGCAGGCCTGGAAACAGATGGTGCTTTAATAATAAATATTTGGGGAAGGTCTCTCAATTGGATTACATTACTGTAATCTCTGAAGCTATTTTTAAGAGTTTTGGGCGTGCTATCTCGTTTCACTCACTTTAATCCCTTTTAACTTCTCATTGTGTTGCAATTGATTCTCCACACATGACTCTAAACTCATTTAATCTGCACATGAGGCTCACAAGAACACTTTTGTGCAAACACTGAACGCGGTTCTACAGTAATTATGCAGCCACTGGCTTCAGTGGAACAAATATACATTCAGGGGGGTGGAGGTCAAGGTGAAAAATGAAAGGATGAAACAGGCAGAGGAATAAACAAACACATATCAGACAGCTCAAGTGATGAGGGAAGGATATGCCAGTGTTACAGTGCACAACACAGAACAATAGGACCTAGAAACAGAAAAGATCAAACACTGTACCACGCATAGGTTTTCTTATGGAGGAAAACACTTAATTACAACTCAAAGGTGCTTATGCATGAATTCAGACTAGAAGACCAACAGAGACGTCTTGCCTCCCACACAGAGTCATCCCTCTACACACCTGCGCCTGAGCTCACCAGCAATCAGCCTCAGCTGCTCAGTAACACACCTGTGCTCATCATCACTTCATGGCTGCAGCTTCAAGCTGCTGTTAGAGCAGCAACCCACCTCCTCCCCATCACTGCCTATTCAATAGAGTATCGTGTCATGTTTTTCATGGCCTTCTCTAATGGCAAAGTCTAATTTTTAGTAAACTGCCTCCTGCATACGTCAGGCACTATTCCTGCCGGGGTCTAATCTCCAAGCTTAATGAACATTTCATGTTCAAATGCAATACATGTATTAGTTACATGCATGGGTTTAATTGTCTATTCATGCAATTATGACCATCAATATAATTCTACTTGCAATCGTTGTATCGAGTCTTTCCAGATGAATTACACAAATACACCATTTTACACTATTAATCTGTCTCTATCACACTAAAGTACTAAACTGTGCTATGTAGTGTGAATGTGTGTTTGTCACACCTACAGTCTATGGTCACACCATAATGGAGAATGTAAAAAGAAAGCAACATCGGGAAAAAGTATGGAAAGCAAAATAAGTTTTTAAAGAAATG